ATCCGACGCTGGAGTCGTGTGCAGGCATCTAGGCTGTGGGACGGCGCTCTCAGCCCCAGGGGGGGCTCGGTTTGGACGAGGCTCTGAGCGTATCTGGCTGGATGACGTTAACTGCAAGGGGACAGAAGCTGCCCTCTCCGAATGCACGGCACGGCCCTGGGGAGACCACAACTGTAACCATGGAGAAGATGCGAGTGCCGTGTGCTCAGGTAACCTCATCTATGTCACCGCCAAGCTGGCACAGCAGGGCTCTGTGGTGCAGGGATGGGTTTTGGTTTTGTCACAGTTCAGGGCAGTCTCATCAGTGTTTCCCCTCGGCATCCAGCCAGGGCCTCCAAAGTCAGGCTCCCGGTTCTGTAGGCATCACCGGTCTTGGGTGGAGAGCCTCGTCCCTCTCCCTCCCGACCGGGTTATTGGCATGTGACACAACTCTTTAAGTATACCCTGATTTTCACCACCAGTCAGGCTGGCCTACTGTCTTTGTGGTGACTGACCAGAGCATTATGGGCTCCCGTTACGTTGGCACCCAGTTCTTACTCAGCACGCACACTGACTCTTAAGGAGAGTACGTCACACAGAACATTTTCAGAGCAATAGCAGAATCCGCCCACATGGTAAAAGGCTCAGCAGAGATCAATCCTCTGCAACACGGGCTGTGGCAGGGGCAGGTCTTCACCCTTCTGTGCTGTCATGTTGATGACACGCTTAGGTCTGAACAGGAACGCCGCCCTATGGTACCTCAGGGGGCCAAGTGCTTCCAATCCTTCCCCCGGGACTGGGGTTTCTGCGCACCTGTGAATGGGCCAGACCGTTAGGTGGATGAGGCCCTGAGACACTTGCCACACAAAGGTATTTATTTCAAAGTTCCTTCTTGGTCATTTGGTCCCCTAAAGACTCCAGCTGGAACCTTTGAAGAGACCGAGAACAGGTAATGAGCCAGAGAACGGGAGCAGCACTTCAGGTCTGGGTGACTCTGAACATGGAGCAACCAGCTCAGACTCTGTAGTGACCTTCCTTCTCCAGAACAGCACTGGAAGAAAGGGGACATCCATTAATAGACCTCTCTCTTCTGGGTCACCAGCATGTCTGTGACTGAGATTTCTCAATTAGGGTCCCACTGCAAAGGACGGGAGAGCCACTCTCGAAATATGGTGCCTGTTGCAATATTAAGATTTACCAGACCAGCATCTAAGACACTTTAGTGCTAACCCAGAAGCCAACGACATAGTTCCTTTCAAGCAAACTGGCCTTAGGTGTCCCACCCACATACCCAAGTCAGATAGTTTTCCCACTACCAAATGGCCAGAGAGGTTACTGTAAAGATCAATCAATATTTCAGATCTCACCCCCACCTATGTGCTGATAGCCAAGTCTTAGTAACTAACCTCACATTAATTTTTAAAAAGAGGAGGGATTAGTGGTTAAAAGCGATCAGCACCTACATAGACATGAATACAGTGCCGAGATCTGACTGAGAGTAGAGATGGTGACCTTTGGAGATGCAAAATGTGCTTACGGAATTACTCCATCGGTCAAAGGACAATGCTCATATGCAAGGCTGGATCCAAGCAGGCTTGCCGGTCTCATATCAATGGCTGAAAGATTTCCCAGATGAAGCATCAAAGCTCTCTCAGATAAAGTGGATCAGGTCTCAGGGTTCTTTGTAGAGTTTTCCGGCAGCCTCCTCAACATTCAGTGAGAGGAGCAAGCGGGAGTCAAGGAGAATTCCAAATCGACCTATCTCCCAAGTATCACCGGGAATTAGCTAAAAGGCTTATCCAGCAAAGGAGGGGTAGGAATGGTGTCCCTAGCTCTGTTTGTCAGAGGCTGGAAACAGGTGATAGGGGAGGGATCACTTGGGCTATGTCTACACTGCAGCACTCTTTGGGGGTAGCGAAAGTTTCCTGAAATAGCTCTTTCTGGTCTTTTCAGCACACCCATTATTTCAAAATGAAACGGCGTCGCTATTCCGACACCCCTGTCAACCTCATTCCATGAGGAGTAAGGAACGTTTGCGAATAGCCGTTCATTGTGAAATAAGTGCTGTGCAGACAGCGCCAAATTTCAAATTAAGCTGGTTTGAAATAAAATTGAAAAAAGATACACCATTTGCCTGGCTCAAATAGCGTATCTTACTTTGAACTGCACGTGTAGTATAGATGCGCCTGTTCCATTAATTCTCTCCGGTGCACCCAGCATTAACCAATGTCGGCAGGCAGGATACTGGGCTCGACGGACCTTTGGTCTGACACAGTACCACTGTTCTCATGTTCTTATGATTATTATGACAGTCACTCAGAGGTGATTTGCTAGACACTTCGAACAGAGATGAATAGAGTATAGATAGGAGCCATTTGATTATACTGTTCTCCTCTAGCTCTATATGTGCAAACACACTTATACACTTACCTCCTCTACCAGTGGGTGTGTCTAAACAACAGGGCTAACCTCAAAAAAAGCTATGCTAATTGTGTAGCTTGGAATCAAACGGCTTATTTCCCATTTGGGAACGTCTACACAGCGCTTGTTGCGAAATAGAGCACTCTTCTTCCGACTTCCCTTCCTCCTCATGCAATGGGGTTTACAGAAGTCGGAGTAAGCAGCACAGCATTGTTTCGACATTATGTTGAATTAACCTCTTGTGTGCAGATGCTGTTATTTGGGAATAACGCTGCTGTGTGGACGTACCTAGTTTGTCCCAAGAGGTTAAATATGAGTCATTTATCCTGCGGAATATATAACTCGTTCCGGCCCTAGGTCGCTTTCAGCAAAACCACAGTGTGGAGCTGTGATTGCCGTTTCGCAGGCCTGCGGTGGATGAGAGGATTGAGTGGGGGGCGTTCTGCCCTCTCTGTCGTTCGTCATCCCCATACCTCAGTGTGCAGGAAGAGCTCAATGAGTGCACGCACGACACGTGTTTGCAGCTAGACCTGTTGCGAGAATCACAGGTCCGATTATGAATACCCAAGTGGGGAAGGATAGAACCAGGTGGACAGTTTTAATAAATAAAAAATATTTATTTATGACAGTGGTGAATTTATAGTATTTATTCTAAGTTTTTTAATAGACAGTGTTAATAATGAATTTACAGTATTTATTATATTTATTCTACGATTTCTAGTTAAACGTGTCAGAGATATAAGGATGGGAATGGCAAGGGGAATAGTCTCTATTCTTAAAATATCTAGCTACAGTAATTAAATAACAGTGATAACTACAAACTCTATGTACTACCCCAAAACAACTACAACACTAAGCTTATACAACAAGAAAAAATCAAATCATACATACCAACTTACACAGCACACGGAACATTTCACAGATATCAGTTTGGTTGCGAAGGCCTTGGTTACGCCCGAGAGTCGGGGGAGGTGGCTGGTCGGTTGATCAGGCCGGCAGCGCTTTGAAGTATACGAGAAGGCACATGCACGGTGGTACATGTTGTGAAGACCTCCTAGAGCGAACTGTGCGATGGGTATTTATCCCCAAATCTGCACATTGTTATCCCGTGCTTGCATATTACCATATATGGCCCAATGGTCACCAAGTGGGGGGCTCTGTGTCCCAAGGGTTGGGCCAAAGCTTTGCAGGTTTCATGCGACCAGGTAAGCCCTGCAGTTCTCACGGCAAGGTGACGGGTGGGAGAGTCTGAGGCTATATTCCCCTTTTCACACCTTCCCTTTTTCTAAAGGCAATGGTATGCAGAAAGGGTGCAGACGGTTTCTCTCAAGGAGTACGGCAGCCCACTATAGCAAGAGCAGCCTGGCCAAACTTTTTTTACTGGGGGGGGGGGCAGTTTCTTTTCTCTAACGAGACCAACCCTGCGAGCGCTCATGAACACTTGAAACTTTAGGCCAGTGAGTCCAGAGAAAGACTCTGAAACCACTACTTGCTTAACTATGGAGCCTCAGCTAATTTACCACTCAGTCCCTAAGGCTGTAACAATGGAAGAGATGCCAGTGTGGGTTGCTCAGGTATCCCTTCTCCATCTCGCAACCGTGGTACAAGATCCATCGGAGGGAGGCACATCTTTCCCCAGTGTGAATTCAGATCTCATGCACAGGATCTCATGCAAGTGTCTCTTCCTTTGGATGTTCACAGACTCGGCCCCTCCAGGAGAGATTCCGCTCCGGCTGGGGGAATGGCCCCGTCGCTGCGCTGGGAGAGTCGAGGTGCTACACGGCCAGCAGTGGGGAACCGTGTGTGATGACAGCTGGGACTTATCCGACGCTGGAGTCGTGTGCAGGCAGCTGGGCTGTGGGACGGCGCTCTCAGCCCCAGGGGGGGCTCGGTTTGGACGAGGCTCTGAGAGTATCTGGCTGGATGACGTTAACTGCACGGGGACAGAAGCTTCCCTCTCCGAATGCAAGTCTAGACCTTGGGGAGACCACAACTGTAACCATGGAGAAGATGCGAGTGCCGTGTGCTCAGGTAACCTCATCTATGTCACCTCCTAGAGGTTTCAACATCAAGCTGCAGGGGTGGGTTTTGGTTCTGTCACAGTTCAGGGCGGTCTCTCTAGTTGTCCCCATCCATGTCCTGCAGGGGGTCCCAAAGCAAGGTTTCCGGCTCCTGAGCCATCGCTGCTCCTTTGTGGAGATGCCTGTCTCTCTTCCTCCTGCCTGGGCAATTTTCATGTCACAAGTCCCCTCTCTCCCATGTACACCGTAATTTTCACCACCAAGGGAGACTGCCTCGTTAGGCTAGCCTCTGTCTCTGCGGACACTGATTACAGCATCACTCCCAATGGTTAAGTTGGCAGCCAGCTCAGCTCTTTCTTAGCAAATGCCTTCATTATGAAGATGAGCGCTTTCCGGCTTGGGTCACTGTGGATGCTGTCATCGTAGAGTCTGTAGTGACCTCTGTGCCCCAGAATGGTGCAGGTACCCTGTCCTGGGAGGAGGCAGACACCTAGCGATAGACCTCTCTGCTCTGAGTCACTGTTGTCTCTAAGACGAGCTCTCAGGGCAGCCATCCAAGATTTTGAGTTTTGGAAGTGCAAAAAGTGGGTACAGAATTACCCTGTAGATTATAGTCGAGTGTTGAATATTCAAAAGGGATCCACGCAGGCCTGGAGATCTCATATCCATGGCTTAAAACATTCCCAGATAAAGTGTAAATTAGATATAGAGTAAAAAGGATCAGGTCTTTGTAGAGCTTTCCAGCAGCCACTCCACCATTCAGTCCTGGATTCTTCCAAAAAGCTCTTTCTCCCCAGCATCACCAGGAATTAGCTACACGGATTGGGGTGACGTAAGAGACAGCCATTCACAGATGATCTGCCATACACTTTAAACAAAGATGAATTCGGTGTAGACGGGAGCCATTTGATTCTACAGTTCTCCTCTGACAATATGCATGGAAAGACACAAATACACCCACATTCCCTACTGTCTGTCCCTTAAGGTTGAATGTGGCTCATTAATCCTGCGGTATGTTTAAGCCAGTCTGGCCATGGGGCACAGTCTCCAAAACCTCCCTGTGGCACCGGCACTACCGTCATGCAGGCCGTGGGGAGGATGACTGAGTGTGGGAGGGGATGTCTTCCCCTCTCTGTTCTGGGTTAGCCCTGCGAGCCAGTGAGGATGACTGTCTGGAGTAGCGGGTGTGGACTGGAGCTGTGAAAGATGTTTTGCCATCTGAGTCATCCCAGACCCTGCTGGCTCACAACACTAGAATGGGGCTGTGTATGGGCAAGGACCCCACTAGATGCATTTGGAGTCAGCATGACCCTGGAGATGATCATGATAATCAAGGTTTCCAGGAACATGCTCTTAAACCAGCCCTTGTTCAAGAACATCGTCTCCCCTCATTTACCCTTGCGTCTCTAACCCTGTAATGATGGAGAAGATGCCAGTGTTGGTTCCTCAGATAACCCTAATCCACCTCACAACCAAGGCGGTGCAAGAACCATCAGAGGGAAGCACTTCTTTCCCCGGCTTTCATTTAGATCTGATGCACGGGAATCTGAGTGTCTCTTTCTTTGGCTGTTCCTAGATTCAACCTCTCCAGGGGAGATTCCGCTCCGGCTGGCGAACGGCTCGAGTCGCTGCGCTGGGAGAGTCGAGGTGCTACACGACCAGCAGTGGGGAACCGTGTGTGATGACAGCTGGGACTTAACCGACGCTGGAGTCGTGTGCAGGCAGCTGGGCTGTGGCACGGCGCTCTCAGCCCCAGGGGGGGCTCGGTTTGGACGAGGCTCTGAGCGTATCTGGCTGGATGAGGTTAACTGCAAGGGGACAGAAGCTGCCCTCTCCGAATGCACGGCCCGGCCCTGGGGAGACAGCAACTGTACCCATGGAGAAGATGCGAGTGCCGTGTGCTCAGGTAACTCTCATCTATGTCACCTCCTAGCTGGCGCAGCAGGGCTCTGTGGTGCAGGGATGGGTGTTGGTTCTGTCACAGTTCAGGGAAGTCTCATCAGTATTTCCCCTCGGCATCCAGCCACGGCCCCCAAAGGCAGGCTTCCGGTTCCTGAGCCATCGCCGCTCCTCTGTGGAGAGCCCTGTCTCTCCCTTCTGGTTTGCCTATTTTCATGTCAGAAGGCCCCTCTCCCCCATTTAAACCATGATTTCCACCGCCAAGAGAGACTGGCTCGTTAGACTAGCCTGCGTCTCTGCGGACACTGATTGCAGCATCACTCCCAATGGTTAAGTTGGCAGCCAGCTCATCTCTTTCTTAGCAAATGCCGTCATTATGAAGATGAGCGCTTTCCGGCTTGGGTTACTCTGGGTGCTGTGACAAAGTGAATTCAGGCTTGGGTTACTCTGGTTACTTGTAGAATCTGTAGCGACCTCTGTGCCCCAGAATGGTGCGGGTACCCTGTCCTGGGAGGAGGCAGACATCCAGCGATAGACCTCTCTGCTCTGAGTCACTGGTGTCTCTGTGACCAGCTCCCAGGGCAGCCAACCGAGATGTTGAGCTTCGGAGGTGCAAAAAGTGGGTACAGAATTAGCCTCTAGATTACAGTCGAGTGTTGATCATTCAAGAGGGATCCAAGCAGGCCTGGAGATCTCCTGTCCATGGATTAAAACCTTCCCAGATAAACCGTAAGTGAGATTGAAAGTAAATAGGATCAGGTGTTTGTAGAGCTTTCCAGCAGCCTCTCCATCATTCAGTCCTGGATTCTTCCAAAAAGCTCTTTCTCCCCAGCAAACGGCTCGAGTCGCTGCGCTAGGATAGTCGAGGTGCTACATGATGCCAGTATTGGTCCCTCAAGTAACCCTTATCCACCTCACAACCAAGGCAGTGTAAGAACCATCAGAGGGAAGCACTTCTTTCCCCGGCGTTCATTTAGATCTGATGCACGGGAATCTGAGTGTTTCTTCCTTCGGCTGTTCCTAGATTCAACCACTCCAGGGGAGATTCCTCTCCGGCTGGCAAACGGCTCGAGTCGCTGTGCTGGGAGAGTCGAGGTGCTACACGACCAGCAGTGGGGGACCGTGTGTGATGACAGCTGGGACTTAACCGATGCTGGAGTCGTGTGCAGGCAGCTGGGCTGTGGGACGGCGCTCTCAGCCCCAGGGGGGGCTCGGTTTGGACGAGGCTCTGAGCGTATCTGGCTGGATGACGTTAACTGCAAGGGGACAGAAGCTGCCCTCTCCGAATGCAAGTCTAGACCTTGGGGAGACCATAACTGTAACCACGGAGAAGATGCGAGTGCCGTGTGCTCAGGTAATTCTCTTCTATGTCACCTCCTAGCTGGTGCCACAGGGCTCTGTGGTGCGGGGATGGGTGTTGGTTCTGTCACAGGTCAGGGCAGTCTCATCAGTGTTTCCCCTCAGCATCCAGCCAGGGCCCCCAAAGGCAGGCTTCCAGTTCTGGAGGCATCACCACTATTGGGTGGAAAGCCTCGTCCCTCTCTCTCCCGGCTGGGTTATTTACATGTGATACAAGTCTTTACGTATACCATGTTTTTCACCACCAGCCAGGCTGGCCTGCTGTCTCTGCAGTGACTGACCAGAGTATCATGCCCCCCCTGTCTGTTACTTTGGCACCCAGTTCTTTCTCAGCACGCACACTGACTCTTAAGGAGGGAGCATGACACACAGAACATTTTCAGAGTAATAGGAGAACCCGCCCACATGGTAAGAGGCTTAGCAGAGATCAATCCTCTGCAACATGGGCTCAGGCAGGAGCAGGCCTTCACCCTTCTGTGCTGTCACATTTATGACATGCTTAGGTCTGAACAGGAACACCGCCCTATGGTACCTCAGGGGGCCAAGTGCTTCCAATCCTTCCCCCGGGACTGGGGCTTCTGCGCACCTGTGAATGGGCCAGACCGTTAGGTGGATGAGGCCCTGAGACACTTGCCACACAAAGGTATTTATTTCAAAGTTCCTTCTTGGTCATTTGGTCCCCTAAAGACTCCAGCTGGAACCTTTGAAGAGACCGAGAACAGGTAATGAGCCAGAGAACGGGAGCAGCACTTCAGGTCTGGGTGACTCTGAACATGGAGCAACCAGCTCAGACTCTGTAGTGACCTTCCTTCTCCAGAACAGCACTGGAAGAAAGGGGACATCCATTAATAGACCTCTCTCTTCTGGGTCACCAGCATGTCTGTGACTGAGATTTCTCAATTAGGGTCCCACTGCAAAGGACGGGAGAGCCACTCTCGAAATATGGTGCCTGTTGCAATATTAAGATTTACCAGACCAGCATCTAAGACACTTTAGTGCTAACCCAGAAGCCAACGACATAGTTCCTTTCAAGCAAACTGGCCTTAGGTGTCCCACCCACATACCCAAGTCAGATAGTTTTCCCACTACCAAATGGCCAGAGAGGTTACTGTAAAGATCAATCAATATTTCAGATCTCACCCCCACCTATGTGCTGATAGCCAAGTCTTAGTAACTAACCTCACATTTATTTTTAAAAAGAGGAGGGATTAGTGGTTAAAAGAGATCAGCATCGACATAGACATAAATACAGTGCCGAGATCTGACTGAGAGTAGAGATGGTGACCTTTGGAGATGATAATGTTCTTACGGAATTACTCCATCGGTGAAAGTCCAATTACTCCATCGGTCAAAGTCCATCGGTCATATACAAGGCTGGATCCAAGCAGGCTTGGAGGCCTCATATCAATGGCTGAAAGCTTTCCCAGATGAAGCATCAGGCTTTCTGAGATAAAGTGGATCAGGTCTCAGGGTTCTTTGTAGAGTTTTCTGGCAGCCAAGTTTTCTCATTCAGTGAAAGGGAGCAAGCGGCAGTCAAGGAGAATTCCAAATCGACCTATCTCCCAAGCATCATCGGGAATTAGCTACAAAGCTTAGCCAGCAAAGGAGGGGCAGGAATGTTTTTTCAGTTTTTTCAGCACACCCAGTTTTTTGAAATGTAACGGCCTCACTATTCCGATATCCCAGTCAACCTCATTCCACGAGGAATAAGGGATGTTTGCGAATAGCCGTGCATTTTGAAAAAAGTGCTTTGCAGACAGTGCCAAATTTCAAATTAAGCTGTTTTGAAATAAAATTGAAAAAAGATACACCATTTGCTTGGCTCATATTGCATATCTTACTTCGAGCTACACGTGTAGTGTAGATGCGCCTGTTCCATTAATTCTCTCCGGTGCACCCAGCATTAACCAATGTCGGCAGGCAGGATACTGGGCTTGATGGACCTTTGGTCTGACACAGTACAGCTGTTCTCATGTTCTTATGATTAGCATGACAGTCACTCAGAGATGATTTGTAGACACTTCAAACAGAGATGAATAGAGTATAGATAGGAGCCATTTGATTATACTGTTCTCCTCTAGCTCTATGTGTGCAAACACACTAATACACTTACCTCCTCTACCAGTGGGTGTGTCTACACAGCAGGGCTAACCTCAAAAAATACTATGCTAATTGCATAGCTTAGAATCAAACAGCTTATTTCCAATTTGGGAACGTTTACACAGAGCTTGTTGGGAAATAGAGCATTCTTCCTCTGACTTCCCTTGCTCCTTGTACCATGGGGTTTACAGAAGTCGGAGTAAGCAGCACAGCATTGTTTCGACATTATGTTGAATTAACCTCTTGTGTGTAGATGCTGTTATTTAGGAATAATGCCGCTGTTTAACCCAGTATGTCCCAAGAGGTTAAATATGAGTCATTTATCCTGTGGAATGTATAACTCATTCTGGCCCTAGGTCGCTGTCAGCAAAACCACCGTGTGGAGCTGTGATTGCCCTTTCGCAGGCCTGCGGTGGATGAGGGGACTGAGTGGGGGGTGTTCTTACTCTGAAACCGCTACTTGCTTAAAGATGGAGCCTCAGCTAATTTACCACTGCAGGGGCTTGGTTTGGACGAGGCTCTGAGCGTATCTGGCTGGATGACGTTAACTCTAAACAGAGTTAGGGACACCATTCCTGCCCCTCCTTTGCTGGCTAAGCCTTGTAGCTAATTCCCAGTGATGCTTGGGAGATAGGGCGATTGGAATTCTCCTTCACTCCCGCTTGCTCCCTCTCACTGAATGAGATAACTTGGCTGCCAGAAAACTCTACAAAGAACCCTGAGACCTGATCCACTTTATATCAGAGGTAAACAGCCAGCATTTCAGGCAACAGTTCTTCCCAGAGGGAACAGCCAGCATTTCAGCATTACAGACTCACAGACATTGGGCTACTATAAATATGATAGTCCCAGCCCATAATGTTACAAAGCCTCCCACAGTGTTGCAAAGCCTCCCTCAATGTTCCAATGTAAGGGTGTGTCTAGACTACAGAGTTTTGTCGACAAAAGTGGACTTTTGTCAACAAAACTATACCTGCGTCTACACTACCGCTGAGTTCTGTCGACATAACGTCAACAGAACTCATCAGTTTTGTTGACGTTGGTAAACCTCATTTTACGAGGCATAACGCCTTCTGTCGACAGAGTTTCTGTCGACAGAAGGTGTTATTGCATGTAAACTGTCCTTTGCGTCTACACTACCATGTCGACAAAGCAGCTTGCTTTGTCGATAGAACTGAATGTAGTGTAGACGCTCTTTGTCGACAGAAGTTTTGTCGACAGTATCTGTCGACAAAACTTCTGTCGACAAAGAGCGTCTACACTTAGACACGGTGCTATAAGTAAATATCTCCAACATACCATGTTGCAAATCCTCCATATGGCTGGGGCTTGTCTCAAGACTCTACGGCAGAGGGAATCTTATACCAATTACTACACCCGTTCATGGGCTGAGGCAGGGACCCTAAACCTCCCTAATTCTCAGGACTCTACAGCTGAGGGTATAGATACCTAAAAACAATTCACCATTTTCTCCTAGCACCCTCACCTAGTGAGGGGAAAGCAAAGACTCTAATCCTTCTTCCTAACCCAGGGAGTCTACAGCTGAGGGTGTGCACACCTTAATCATCGATCAATTTCCAATACTTCTCAATACTTCTTCTTTCATTACCATGTAAACCTTCCCCCTTTCGCAATTCTGCAACAAAATGTTGTGCTTAAAAGAGGCACAGCCAGCTCTTTCTTAGCAAATGCCTTAATTATGAAGACGAACGCTTCAGGTTTGGGTCACTCTGGGTGCTGTCATCGTAGAGTCTGTAGTGACCTTTGCACCCCAGAATGGTGCTGGTACTGGGAGGAGGCAGACATCCAGCGATACACCTCTCCGCTCTGAGTGCAGGTCCCAGCATGCAATGGGAGTGTGTTGGGAGCCCAAATACAGGTCCCAGTGCACAAATGGAGCAAAGAACGTGCCTGAGGTTAGGACCCAGAAGGCCACAGCAGTGAGGCAGCTGCCCGAGTGCAGAACCCAGCATACAAAAGGCACTAGAGTCTCTGGGAACACAGGGCTGAGTGCTCAGGTACGGCATGAGACCTCAGGAGTCATTCAGTCCAACCCCTGGCCCAACGCAGGACCAATCCAATTAAATCAACCCAGCGAGGGCTTTGTCAAGCCGAGATGTAAAAACCTCCAGGGATGGAGATTCCACCACCTCCCTAGGGAACCCATCCCTGTGCTTCACTACCCTCTAGGCAGGCGCTGCAGTCTCTGGGAACACAGGGCTGAGTGCTCAGGCGCAGCCTTGATGGGTGATCACTGCACAGTCTGCCTGGGAAGGAAAGAGGGGACCTGGCAGGCCCAGAGGATGGGACAAGCGGGGCCTGGGATTGACACCCTGTGGAGTACTATGGGGCAGGGTTATGGAGGAAAAACGCCCTCATATGGCAGGATCAGCTTCCAACACACCATCTGCTACTGACACACCCCAGTGGGACAGGGATTCAGGACTCCTGGGTTACATCCCAAGCCCTGGGATGGGAGTGGGACCTAGTAGCTAAAGCAGGAATCCCATAGCTGGGATCAGGTGCTGCCTCTCTGGTCACCATGGGACTCTGTTCCAAGGCACCAGCCAAGACCAGCCAGCAAGTCCCTTAGGATCTCAGTTTGGCTTCTGAGACACTCTGAGTTTGGGCGCCCCACACAGCCCATGGGGAAGACCCCACCGGGGCCCTTGTGACTGACCCTCTGGCAGGGACATCCTGTAGCTCCACATGGGGAAAGGGTTTGATCCCTGGGCAATGTCTGGGTCATGGTGGGCACCCGTCCTCTGAGAGCACACAGGCTGCTGGAACTGGGGCAGGAATGGGGGGCAGGGATGACTGTTACTGCCAAAGCTCCTCTGGGACCCAGGGCTCAGCTCTCCACACCTGCTCTGACACTGAGACAGCAGGGATGGACAGGGCCTGTGACGGACACAGCACGGGGGGAGGAGGGGCCATGGGAAAGCTGGCTCCCAGACAGCAGCAGTTCAATGTGGCATTGGTAGGAAAAGCAATAGAGCCCTAGACAGCCAGTGTGGGGCTCCGGGCTGTGTGTGTATGAAGCAGGCTGCGTGGGGCAGGCTTGCCAGGGCTCCCAAACTGCCATGACCAGAGGCTGTTTGCGGCAATCGTGTCCTGGGGACCAGCCCCTTGGGGACCCTTATCAAGAGACGGTTCTTACCCCGTCAGTCAGGCAATTTCCCTTCACTCGCTTACACTTTAACCACAGAGGCGATGCTGGCGTGGGGCGCTCTTGTAATCCTGCCCCAACTATT